ATATATATATATATATATATATATATATATATATATATATATATATATATAATCATGTATAAATTTTACATATCTTTGCTTTCATGCTATTTTAAATTATATATAATTATATATAATTATATATAATTATATATTAAATTATATATGAGTATATGTATATATATATCCGTATTTGCAATAATATGAAATCATACATACACGGGTGCTTTGTTCCGATCCTCGAAACAAACTGCGCTCGCTATCGTTTCTCTCCTTGACAGGAGGCGACAGAGAGGGATGAGGACTTGGCTGACAAATGTCAGAGCGGAGTGGCCGTCGTCACCCTTCGACAGTGCGAAAATCCCTCGATGGACTGGCGAAACGAGGAATCGGATCACTCGAGCGGTACGTAGCGGGGTAGGAAGACGCTCCTTGCGGGTCGCGTAACGACTACGTGAGCTTTCTCTCTGTCCGGACAGTCGAGAACTTAAAGTGGGATGAGAACGACGTCAGGAAGAAGAATGCCCCCACCTTGCGCCGCAACGTTCGGTCCCAGGAAGTCCAAGTGCGTCCTCTCGTCACCGCTCTCAGGTTGCAGCTGGAAAGTCGAGAGAATAAATGTCCTAAAAGAACTGATAAAAACTAAAAAACTGATAATGAAAATATCATTTTAATAACATTGTATAAATTGTCCGAATTTTAACTGTCCCTGCTTGTGATCGGACCTAACATGGCTTTGTCTATCGCAACCAATTCGGTGTTTCAACAATAAGTGAGGGCAGATTTATTCGGTCAGGTGGAGCTCGGAGTCTGCAGGGACATTAGGAAGTTCACATCCGTCTTGGAGAACCTGGAGCTCGAGACGAAAGATCAAGATCACGCGAGATTTAGGACGAAAGACGTGCAGACGAATTACTTCAGCGATTCTGAACAAGAAGAGATCGCGCCAGTTTTCAAGACGAGGGAGAAGTCTACCTTTCAGTTGGTATTACAGGGACCGGAGATCCTGAATTTCCAGGTGCGAATCTCGTGTCGCTTAATTTTTATCCGCGACGTAATTACTCGGGTTTAAATATCACGGTAGCATTCTCTAGAGAGGAAGATACAGAGGGTGGAAAGAGAGAGGAAGGAAGAAGTAAAAGGGTCAGCAAAGCACTTTAAAGACAAATTCGTTCTAATTAGAAGGCTTACCTATGGCTCTGTGATGATTTATCCTGCAGGGTACGAGGCACTCTCCTGCGGATATCGCACCCTACTGGAAGAAGGACTCTCGGATGTGGCTGTGGAAGTCGGTGAGACTCGCGAGGAAGATAAGAAGGACCAAAGCGAGGGCTGTTCCTCCTCTGTGTCGCAAAGAACTTTCGTAGTCTAGATTTTTACTCACCAGTGCAGGAATTTTCGAATCCTCATTTTTTTCTTTTTACACATTTTTAGTTTTACGCGCCACGCGTGTGATTTTTAAATAATTATCGAATAATAGATATTACTACCAAACTACTGAATTTTATTGCTAAATTAGATAATTTTACTATTTAATTAAATTTTATTAACAGATAACAATATTAGACTAAACTAAATAGAATTTTTATTTTTATGTGGAATATAATAAATTTTATTACAGTTTATATATCTATATGTATATCACTGACGATAAGAAGTGTTATTTACGACAGATTCTTCTGTTCTAAATGATTACCCGAATTTTGGAAATATCTACGGTTTTTGAATCGGTCCTCCGTCGTTCTCATTCTTGAGAACAATAGTAGTAGTTGGAACACGCTGCGTATTCAAGTGAAAATTAATATTAACGTACGATAATCGAAGATAATCGGTATAACGGATAATCACCTGCGACTTCAGCCGCAGGTCTGAACATTCTCCAGTGTCGGTTCTAAGGTAGATTCGTCTAGCTCCTCGCCGACCTCGAAACGCGCGAAATCGACGACCTCAGCTTGTGCGCTTTCCAATAGTTCCTGCACTGAAAGACTAGGATCCAGCAGGAACTCTTGATAGATCATACAGGTCTCCTCATCCGTGTTGTCGTGTGGCTCGTCGACCCGCGGGTTCCCGATCGTCTGCGGGTCCATGCCTGCGCAATTAAATAAGTTACACGTCTAAAGGATCTCTGAACCGAGATCTTTTCTCCTTCCTCCAATGCAAATAACAATCAGTTTAGCATATTTTTCTTGGGAATAATATTAGCTTTCTCTTTCTAGAAAGACGAAATCTCGCGGGGGCTTCATGCTTGTCAAAACTTCGCGTGCAACAACTGCAAACGCTTATCCTGCAGTCAATTTACCTATAACATGCTGGCAAAGCTGTGCGCCCAATATATCGTCACTTGTCTTGCTCTTGACGGCGACGAGAGCACCGTATTTGCCGAAGGACACGGGGACGGGGTTCATGGGCGCCGGATGCGTACAGCCGAACAGTGTGACGTCCGGTCGCACGCTGACGGCGAGTGCGCGCCGCAGACTGATGTTCTCGCCCAAGTCGCCGATGGCCAAGGCGGTGTGGTCGCTTAAGATCTTGCCGTCGGCTGCTGGGAGTGTTTTAAGAGCATCTATGTGGAACACAGTACGCTGCACTTCGTTCTGAAGCTCCTGGCTCTTGGTGTGACTCAGCACTGCCGATATCACGGTCTCAGCGAGGCTGTGGAATTTCTTGTTCCGCGCCACAAAGTCAGTTTCACAATTGACCTCCACCAGAGCTGCATAATTCTGATCCACTGTCACTGTGATTAGACCTTGTTTGGTGCTGCGATCCTGCAGCTTGGCTGCTTGGATCCATCCATACTGTTGCGCTTGTTTCCGCAACCACTCTTCAGCCTGAAGCGAGAAGAGATGAAGATATTAATTATATGTTGACCGACAACACAGCTATGTGTTCAAATCATCCTGACAGACCCCTTACCTTCTGCACGTCGTTCTCGTGCATCTCCAGAGCTTTCTTGCAGTTGGCAAGGGTGTAGCCAGTCTTCTTCCGCAGCTTTGCCAGCAGGGACTTGTTTGTGGCCTGCCAGAGCAGGCCACTTGTGTGAACGAGGCGGAATATTTGCGGAGACATCACCTGAAACGCGATAATATGCGCGTTATATACTGATATATCCTTAATTCAAAATGCTAATTGTCTAAGGAAGTTGGGGGATTGATATTTTGCAAGCAAGGCTATTTCGCGAATTTGGAGGTGTCACGTATAATAGAAACGTCGAACCTGATTGAAAAATGTATATAATATATAAACTTATTTGCCCCGGTTTAAATTACATAAATAACCTACGAACGAGGTTATGTCGTCTCGGACATAACCTAAAAATCGCACGCAATATCCGAATTTCGTGAGAACTAAACAGCGAGAGAGGGACACGGACGCGAAATTATGCTCTCGCGGGCTCTGACGTTTGCGGGATTCGTTAATTTTCGCGAATCGATTCCGAGCCCCGTTGCCTGGAGACTGCAATCAAGGGTGCTGCTCGTGTCGTAATCGACGCCGGAATCTTCCTCATAACGCATGCTTACGTTTGACACGTGAGAGACAAACGACGTGATTAATGCCGGGGAATTAATTTCGCAACGTGAACACGCGAATATCCACCGGCGAATCGAGTCTTGCAATTTTAACGAACAGTTGCATGCGTTTAGCGGCGCAAACACTCACCATGCCCGAAGGTTAGGGTGCCACGCAGGTCCGTAATCAGCTTGTAAGTGAGTTGGCTTCCTCGGGGGCTCCTTTCCTGTAAAAAAATTGCTAAATAAATTACTCTCGCGTAATTGTCAGTGAAACACTTGGAATAAACTTTTGAGGAGTTACAAATTTATATTATCCGGCGGTAATTTGCATTAATAATGAATGAAGCATTTTGTATTGAGAAAAGGGAGGAAAAGCGCGCGAACTTATAAAAATAAATTCGTACCATCGAGTCAAGTCACGAGTTTCTACGCGATTAATAATTGAATTTTTTAACTGCGATTTCAATATATGTTTTCCAGGAATATTAGAAATTCGTTAGAATTGCTGTGCCGGAGAAAATATTCAGAATTAAATATGGAAAGCTGTCGCACGGAGGAGACGACCGCGCGAAATGGCAAACCGGAAGATGCGCCTCGAATACCTAAGATCCTCAATACGAAGGTGGTACCGTTGTTCTCCTTGCCGCCGGAGTTGATGGGCACTAAGAGGCACAAGAGAAAAGGTGGCGGCGAACTAATTAAGCGAAAAGAAAAGGCGCGGAAGCTCTACGAGGGTTCTTACACCGCGCAGCGGCTTCGCCAGGAGAACTTTCGCAGGTATTCGAAAAAATCGCGATAACTGCAATTGCATTAATTGTCAAACTCAACTGTCGAGTTTAATGTTATTAGATGTCATACTAATCATTATGGAACGCATTACTAAACTATATTACATAGTATATATATATGTGTACACACACACACACACACAATTTATATGCCATATCTGTAGTTGATTCAACAATATTTGTCATTGATTTAATAAAAAATAATATTAGAAAAACAACCCGCACATACAGCACAGACGCATGCAACAACATTACTGCAACGTTTCAATATTGTATATTGCAATGCAATGTTGCAGAAACATTGCAGAGACATAAATTCCAAGATACCAGCGAACAAGATACGTGAAAAATATTTTTTTAAATGCGCTGCATTAAATGCGAATATATATATATATATATATATATATATATATATATATATATATAATATAAATATTATTTGATGTTATACACTGCCGGCGAATCAGTTTCAATTTTATGATATTGAAGTTCGTAAAGAAATAATTCCACTGTAACGATACTCCAATAGACCGACGTACAATCCAAGTAAAATTATTATTACTACACTGTAAAAACTGATGTGTTAAATTTAACATTTCATGTGTCCCAAATCATCCACTTTTACTTACGTGTAAATTTAACACAAAACAAATGTAGTAAAAAGTAACACGCATAACATATAAAAAGTTAACACAAGAATTTAACACTTGAATACCGTCAGGAATCAATTTGTGTTAAATTGACATATATACAATATTAAATTAACTAAAATAAAACGTTACTTTAACATTTGAGAGAAGTATTAATCTATGGTTTTGATGAAATGAAAATTTTAAATTAACATAATCTATGTCTGACATATTAAATATATCAATTTAACACAACCTGTGATTCCTAACAGTATTCAAGTGTTAAATTCTTATGTTAATTTTTTCAATATTATGCGTGTTACTTTTTAACATATTTGTTTTGTGTTAAATTTACACATAAATGAGAGTGGATGATTTGGGACATATAAAATGTGTTAAATTTAATACATCAATTTTTACAGTATTAAAAAATGTTGCTATAATATCTCAGTGAATTAAATTCTTTTTCGCACAGAAATGCAATACTGTATTAATTTTCTTTATTGGAGAGCGACACGTTAATATCACTAAAATATTAAGACGCCAAGGTAGTTATATTTTGATAGGTGTTGCAGTGAAATTAATTTAACCACAAGGAGCGATCTTGAATTAAGCATGCTTCTTGAGTTTAATAGTTGATGTAATAGTCTTGTGCCGTGCGGGGAGCAATTAGTTATCGTAATACAAAGCGACGCGAGAGATTGCGTTTCCGATCTAATCACCCAGTTGGCGAGGAACTTCTGACGCTCCAAATGAATTCTTTTGCGACTAGATTTATGGTGGGTTTAATAGTGAGACCGGAGTTGCCGGAGGCGGGCGTGGACCTGAGCGACGATAAAGACGTCAATCGTTATTATTATTACATCTGCAACGGCGTTGACACGATTCACACGGCGAGCATCGGCCAGGACTACGTCGACGCGATACTCGCCTTGGTGCCCGGCAATCTGCGCGAGCGATTTCCCGATTTCACCGCTAATCTGGTGGCCGAGATCAAGGAGGACTTCACGAGGAACATGAAGAAGGCTGTCGTCAAGTTTGCGCTCGCGAATCCCTTCGAGGACTACCTCTCGGAGGTAATGGAATGACTTTTATCTCTTCCCAAGGAAACTTCTACCTCCATCCACGTCAAATTTCAATTTTATTTGTCGCCATCCCAAGGAACGCCAATGCGCGTATAACGTGCTTTTAATGTGCATTTAACTGCATTGGCTTCGAAACCGCATTAATTATGTATTTAAAATGCACTGAAATTAATGTAATATTTACTCATTTCGTAATAACAAGTTTTATAAAATGAATGAATAATTTTTTACATACATCGTCAAATCACAAATTATTGCTTGCTTAAAGATCTATTCTTTTTCATAAAACTTCCTAAACTGATGTTTACTGGTACAAAAAGTTAAAATTTTTTTCTTTTTAATGAAGTGGTTATACTAGTTTAAGAGATTTATGCACACTGAAACATAAGAATGGGTGCTTCTTATTGTAAAATCCCAGTTGAACATCCTTTGGGATTGGGATTCCTACTGGGTATTTCGCCTAGTTTTCCTAGGTGGGTTTTCCAGATGAACTTTCCAGATGAGATTCCTCACGTCAATGAAATGTCAATGTCACAGAATGCCATATCTGTAGTTGATTCAACAATATTTGTCATTGATTTAATAAAAAATAATATTGGAAGAACAATACAGCACATACAGCACGCTTGCAACAACATTACTGCAACGTTTCAATATTGTATATTGCAATGCAATGTTGCAGAAACATTGCAGAGACATAAATTCGCAAGATACGCGAAAAATATTTTTTTGAATGCGCTGTCATAATGTGTGCATTAAATGCGCTTTTAATGCTAGTTAAAATGCATATTTAAAGCGCATTATACGCGCATTGGCGCTCCTTGGGCAAGAACACCGATTGCATGACATAATCCTTATCTACGTCGATCGAGGATTGACCTGATCCTCCCGCGACAATCTCACGTCCTATTTGTAGAGACAAAATCAATAATATATGTACAGATAACTCCATGCAATACAAAAGTATACACTGAGGCAAGGAATATGTAAAAAATGAAAAACATTTATTCGCGGTGAGCATTAACAAAGATAAATAAATTTACTTATACTGATATGAAAGATTTGTCCAAGTAGAAAGATACATATTTGTTTAAAACTTCAGTATTTTATGTGAAGTACTTGCTTGTTCCGTTTAAATAAGAGAACTTGGATAATGTTGTCAGTATCCACCGTGAATAAATATTTCGTACTATTTTTAGGTATTCTTTCTCTCCCGACGTACAATGGAAAATATCAAACTGTGACACGTGTGAATATTCACATGACGGAACAGTTTGATATTTCTTTCTCACTGGATCGCGAAGCCGGAGAACGGAGATTGACATTTCATCGCTGACGAGTTAATCCGCTCTATCGATTGCAGTTCGACGCGATTGAGGAAGGCGATCGGCAAATCGTTCAGTCAGATTTACGAAAACACATCGCGCACTGTCGCGAGATCCTGCGGGCCGATTTGCACTTGGTAAATCCGTGTATGCGAATGACCCTGGAGCATTGGGTGCGCGATTACAGGTAGGAGCCGCGAGCTTACGCGATCCCGTCGCGAGTCGTTGTTCGCTCGTTATCGGTGCTTCGTCGACGGAGCGGTGATTTGTCTTTTTTCTCTTCCCTGTCTGTCTGTTTTCAGCGAATTTCGCCTGATCAATACGAAACGTATCGTTGCGCACGAGGAAAGCTGGGACTTGGCGAGCTTCAACAGCTCGATTGTCCGTCAGATCGCCGACAGCCGGCGGATCCTCAGCGAGTCCTGGTACATCGGAATTCAAGAGATATTTCTCGTGGTAATGACCGTTGATCCACTCAAACGCGCTGAGACGTCAAAAGCAAAATCGGGGAATGTATATGTGCAATGCATATGAGAAAATCGAGAGAAAATTAATTAGTTTTTTTTTTCATAGGAACAGAATACTATAGTTTCTCTTTCGTATAAATTCTTTCCAATTTTACTGATCTCAGTGATGCGAGAATAGACTCTGTCAGTGAGATCTATCTTGTCAAGAAACGTAGAAAATTTTTTAGCAGCGCCTCTCAGTTCCTGAAATAATAAACAACACATATGAGGAACGAATGGGCAATCAATTATTGCAGAAAGCCGATTTATTCCTCGGTTACAAAATTCCACATCAATTTTTACTGCAAAATTCTTTCCGTGTATTCGGTTCTTACAAATCCTTTTTCATTCCTCTCATTGTTATCTCTTTCTGTATTTATCTATACGTATTAAATTCATATTATAATATTTAATGATTTCGCGCAGAAATCTTCCTCGACAAAACAACGTCTTAGAGAATATAAAATCAGGAAGGAACAAATGATCTCTCAATTTATGTCGATCCTTGTGTTCCTTCGCGTTATATTTAATTATCTCGCTCTCATTTCCGTCGCGCGCTTATCCGTTAATTGCGCCCGACGATGGTCACACGGCTAATAACAGATCCGTTCAGAAATGAGAAGCGTTAAAGGACGAGGGGGAATGAAATCTCGTTTCCTCCTCGTCCAGTTCCTCGTCCGGCTCCTTTTCAGAACAATAGGAGGAATCTGGTACCTAGCCCGTTGCGACGCAGGCAATTCAAAAAGTTCTTCGATTGCACCGCCGGCCTGATGGAGACGCAGCTTTTGAACGCTTGCAAGTACTCCCTTCGGGATTTCGTTAATTACGTCGTGCACGGTAAGGTGAGTGCACGGTTGTGTGTATTTGTATGTGTGTGCGCACCTTCGACCGCGATCGATCGTCGCGGAAATCATTTCCAGTGCAAGGAAGCGCACGTGTGTCCTTTCCGCCGGCGTTTCCTTCCTCCGCCGCGTTATCCCGCGTATTATTAAACCTCCCTTCGCAGCAATTTCCCTCGATCACTGTTCCCATCACTCTTCGAGGCTTGTTAGCTCCTATTTCGAGTTCTTTTTCGCGTGTCGGAGAATTTCTTTCAATTCTGATCGCTACAGACGCGAGCTACAATCGGCGGTAGTTATGCAAGAATGATCGCGTGAAGTACGCGTTTCGGGGGAAATAAAGATGAAAGTTTTATGCGCGATTTCAAAAGAGATAGTACAGAGATTCTTCGCAATCAAGAAGTCAAGTAATTTTCTTCTTTTGAAGAGTATTCATTAGCAAACTTAATTAGCAAACTAGTAATTTTCTTCTTTTGAGGGGTGACAAACTTGTAACTCTTAAACAAAATAGATAAAAAAGACGCAGAAACTAGCAGAAAATAAAAATATTGTTTTTGATTAATTTTAGACGCCCATAAAGATCCTTTTGATTTTATGTAAAAAGATGCACGGACCACTATAATTATACTACGTATAATTTTCAGATAAACAAACGTTATTTCGGAGAACTCTTACCGCAACCTCATACACCCTTTATTTGTATATCTCTCTTTACTTTCGCGTCGAATGTTCGCGACTAACATTCGTGTTTCATTCCCTTTTCGTGTTTCTGAACAGTCGGCGGTCTGCAGCTTCAAGCTGAACGTCCTCGTCGTCTCTAATGAGATCGTCTTCGAGCCATCCTTCGACAAATTTAAGGAATCGCTCTGCAACATTCTCGAGATGATATGCGACGCAGCGAGGAATTTCGAAAGATTGGAGACGCAGCTTTATCTCGATTGGGCGGGTCCGCAAAAATTCCTCAAGGTTTCGCATTATTAAACGCGAAGGACCGATCGGAGGGTCCACGCTTTTTATCCATCGGATCCTTCGACTGACTAGACGCTGTAAATGCTTTGAAGCGCTTCAAGAAAAGCCACGATTGATCCATACGGCGTCTCAAAGCATTTACAACGTCTAATATATCGTGAAGTTTCTGTTATTTAAATCCTCACTGACCATCTCCACGCGTTCTTCGCAGCCCAAGATCTCGGAGAGCGTCGTGAAGCACTTCAAGACGCAGATAAGAGAGCTGATCGATCGCGAGAGAATAATCCCGGAGCAGAGGATGGCCGAACTGAGAAAGTGCTTATCGATTCCCATCACCGGTGGATGCTGATAAAGATTCCCGATAACGCAACTTTCTGCTTGCAGATACGCGCCTCTCTACGATGGCGAGGAACTGGGCCGGGCGGAAGTCTTTCTACGGGACGAGAATAAGAAGCTGGACGAGTACGACGAGGAAATCAAACGCTATCACGAAGCGGGCGCTCGAATCGCGACGGACGTCGAGAGAACGGTGTTCGCGGGTTTCTTCGAAATTTCCCACGCGGCCTTCGTCGACACCGTCACCGGGAACGTCGAGCACTTGAAGGGACTCTTCCTCCGTCATCTCGTCAACAAATATCAAACCACTGCGAGAGGGTAAATAATCGCTAAAAAATAAGAGCACACGATGTTCGTTCGAAGGAACCCGCAATAAAAATCAGCCACCACGTTGTGGCTTTCATTCATTTACATCGCAATTGTGTCCAGCACGGCTGACGAGATTGTTCCCGCGCATTTTTCAACGTTTCATATATTTATAATGAATAAACAGCAGCTTGTTTTTCCCGCCGGTCTCTTTTATCGAGGGAAAACGCAATTAATGTACCTCCCGCATTTTAATTTCCTCGCATCGTGCACTTTTACATGTGTACACGCGAGTCATATAAAATGTTAACAAATTTTGACGGAACGCGATGATTCTCGTCGCGTTTGCACGAAATTATTTTCAGGACGGATCGTTGCGTTCGTTAACGATCCTCTGCCTGCAAATATCATTTGACGACCGACCCGTCTTTTCAACGTTACGCTACACATTGACGTTATAAAGTACAAAAAAAAAAAAAACTTACGCGTCCAGCATTGTAGCGGAATACGAGGCCATAGTCGAGCGAGCCTTGACCCCACCTGTCAATACCGCGGCTCTGATGGAGCTCGTCAAGTTCGCGCGGACGATCAGTGACGTCACGATGAAGAGCCTGGAACTCAGGTTGACAGACACGATCGTGCACATCGTATTCCTGTCGGATTACTGGCTGCTCACGGATAGTGAGATAAGCATCAACAGCAGAGCCTTTCAGCTGTACCACAGGATGCCGCAAGTCTTCGAGGACAACCGGCTCATCATCGAAACCAAGACGCTGGAGTTTCAAGAAGCGTTGAGAGGTTCGCTCGCCACAGTTAGACCTACTTTCTCGTCGGCAATCAGTTCGATGTCTAATTAACTAAATTATCCTCGTCGTTACTTGAATTTCGTTCGAGAGACTCGATAGATTTGGGCGGATCGCTTCATTAAAATTAACGTTCATTTAATTTTATTCGTTTACATCAACACCCAATTAATATTCATATTTATGTATATTTGTCCCGGCTAGTTTTTAATGGTATTATTATCCATGCTCTACGCGTTTTTACCGCTGATTTTCTCGACGGGGAATGAATGCCGTTTCCTCTCTCTTGCAGTCAGATATTTGAAGTTCGCGGAGGAGTTGGATTCCAACCAGAAACAAGTGGAGGAGATGAAATATTGGGGCGACATCGATGAGATATATCGTTACCAGCGCAAGGCGCAGTTGCTGGAAGACAGGCTGATCACGGCGATGGACAAGATCGACAAGTTTAACGAGGAGGAGGCCGCTTTTGGCTGGGAGATCACGCAGTACCCTCTGCGAAAGCAAATCGCGGACCGCCTGCAGCCGTTCAAGAAGCTCTTCGACGGTGCCTGCGAATTCTTGACGAAGCACGACAAGTGGATAAACAGCATGATCGGCACGTACAAGCCCGAGGACATCGACAACGACGTGGGGAATTTTTACAGGTCGAGATACATGGTTTAGGAAAGTGATAATTGATTAAGATAATATTGATAATTGATTAAGATAATTGATTAAGATAAGATTGATTATGTAATATACGCTAATTGTTATCTTTCGTCGATGTTCCCTTTTGAATGCTCGATGATAAAACCGAGTCCCTGTTGCAGGACGATCTTCAAGCTGGAGAAAGCGTTCCAGGAACCGGACGTGCGAGATCTGGCGCTCACGGTTCGCGAGAGGATCGAGGACTTCCGGAAATACATGCCGGTAGTGATGACGTTGGGCAATCCCGGCATGAAGTCGCGACACTGGGACGAGGTCTCGGCGATCGTAGGCATCCCCATCAAGCTGGATCCCGACTTGACGTTGGGCAAGGTGCTGGGTATGGAGTTGGACGCGTACATCTCCCAGTTCGAGGGCATCTCCGAGACCGCGACGAAGGAAAGCGCTGTAGAGAACGGCATCGAGAAGATGCAGAAAGAATGGGTCAACCTGGTGTTCACGGTGAATCCCTACAAGGACACCGGCACCTTCGTCATCGCCGGCGTCGATGAGATACAGCTCCTGCTCGACGATCACATCACGAAGGCTGTGACCATCAAGAACTCGCCATATATCAAGCCCTTCGAGGCCAGGATAATGTAAGTTGCAATTTTATTCTCTTTTATTTTATTGCAACATTGTAATTCTTTATATCATAATTGCTTTTTTGTTTTATCTTATTATTTCATTACATTGTTTTTTCTGTATTAATAAATTTTTTGTTATCATTTATTTGCGCTATGATTTCAGTAGTACGTGATTTTTATTTGGTTTCCTCATTTTTAATGATTAAAATTATTATTTCTAATTAACTAAGTTATCTTTTTTAATTTATAGTTTATGAAATTCTATATATATATATATATATATATATATATATATATATAATAATAATATGCATACCACTCGATCACAGCAAATGGGAGAAGACGTTGCACTTGCTGCAGGACATTTTGGACCAGTGGCTGAAAGTCCAGGGTATTTGGATGTACCTCGAGCCGATCTTCACCTCGCCGGACATTCTGCAACAAATGCCAGACGAAGGAAGGAAGTTCGCGGCGGTCGATAAGATCTGGCGGGACATTATGAAGAACGTCCAAAGCGACTCGCGCGTTCTCGTCGTCGTCGAGATCGATAAGATGTTGGAGCGGCTGAAGAAGAGTTTCGCATTGCTGGAGCAGATTCAGTTGGGCCTAAACGATTACTTGGACAAAAAAAGACTCTACTTCCCCAGGTTCTTCTTCCTTTCCAACGACGAGCTACTGGAGATCCTATCCGAGACGAAGGATCCTACACGGTAACGTGATAACAGTTGTAAAATAACTAGAGGGATTTTTTAACTGGTCACTTTACACATACCTATACATCTTGTAATTCTTGCTTCCAATTGCTTTTTTAGTAGATTTAGTATACAATTAAATTATTTTACTAATTGTATAAGTGATCACTACTATATCGTATGATTAATTGTTGTATTACATAACTTAAAATTTAAATAAAAAAATAATTATTTTCTCTAATATAAGATTCGGACATGAAGATTACTAGAACAAGAATTGTTAGATTTAGAATACAATTAATTTTACTAATTGTATAAGTGATCACTACTATATCGTATGATTAATTGTTGTATTACATAACTTAAAATTTAAATAAAAAAATAATTATTTTCTCTAATATAAGATTCAGACATGAAGATTATTAGAACAAGAATTGTTTCTCTACAGCGTGCAGCCACATCTGAAGAAATGCTTTGAAGGAATAGCGCGCTTGAGGTTCAACGAGGATCTCGAAGTGCTGTCGATGCAGTCGACGGAAGGCGAGATGGTCGATCTCATGGAGATCATATCGACCTCCGCCGCTAGGGGACAAGTAGAGAAGTGGCTGGTCGAGCTCGAGACGGAGATGCGGAAGAGTGTGCGACACGCCGTGAACCAAGCAATGCTGGCATATCGCACGAAGGAAAGGACCGTCTGGGTGCTGGAATGGCCCGGTCAGAGTGTCCTATGCGTAGGTCAGATGTACTGGACGCAACAGGTCGAGGAAGCCATGCCTAAGGGGGTGGAAGGCTTGAAGAGATATTTGGATCGGTCCCAGCAGGAGCTGAATAACATTATCCTGCTGATTCGGGGGATCCTCTCGAAGCAGAACCGTACCACTCTGGGTGAGTGCTCAAAAGACAGTTGAGATCTTCTAAAGCTTGAGGCAAAAGCATTGACAATTCGTTTTCCACGTTGGCGATGTTAAATGTCTTTTTTCAGAGGCTTTGGTCACGTTGGATGTACACAGCAAGGATGTCCTTGAAGAATTATGCAGAGACGAAGTGATGAAAAATACCGATTTCCAGTGGTTGTGTCAACTGAGATACTATTGGCTGGTACAGTCACTTAATGAATGTTGTAATTAGTCTTAATCGATTTTCGGGTGGCGTTATTTTCGGATATCTCAAAGTTAAGCGCTGGCAATTTTTTCACCCTCCTATAACTTTTCAACCCTTTGGGTATAAACAAAGTGAAAGATGTTTTGACAAATCTATGGTAGGGTACAAACCTATGTATCTTTAACAATTCTTGAATTTCTTAAAGTCAAGCGCTAACTTCATACTTTCGATTTTGTAATCACGTTTTCGAGTAGGAGGACAACATGCGAGCGTACATGATTAACTCCTACCAACGCTACGGCTACGAGTACCTCGGCAACACGACTCGACTCGTCGTCACCCCGCTGACCGACCGATGCTATCGCACCCTCTTCGGCGCGCTCAGCCTTCACTTGGGTGGCGCGCCCGAGGGACCAGCCGGTACTGGCAAAACGGAGACGACGAAGGACTTGGCGAAGGCGGTGGCCAAGCAGTGTGTCGTCTTCAACTGTTCCGAGGGCCTCGACTACCTCGCGCTCGGCAAGTTCTTCAAAGGACTCGCCTCCTGCGGCGCCTGGTCCTGCTTCGACGAGTTCAATCGCATCGACCTGGAGGTCCTGTCAGTCGTGGCTCAGCAGATCCTCACGATCCAACGCGGCATCAACGCCGGCCTCGAGAAGATAGTGTTCGAGGGCACCGATATCTTCCTGGATCCCAGTTGCGCGTTTTTCGTTACTATGAACCCGGGATACGCCGGTAGATCGGAACTGCCGGACAATCTTAAGGCCCTCTTCCGCCCGGTCGCCATGATGGTGCCCGATTACGCACTCATCGCGGAGAACACTCTGTACTCATACGGGTTCTACAACGGCCGACCGTTGGCCGTAAAGATCGTCACCGCTTATAAACTCTGCTCGGAACAACTCAGCAGTCAGCATCACTACGATTACGGCATGAGAGCGGTCAAATCTGTCTTGATTGCAGCTGGTAATCTAAAGCTGCGCTATCCCGAAGAATCCGAAGATATTCTCATGCTGAGGAGTATCTTGGACGTCAATTTGCCCAAATTTTTGATCCATGATCTACCGTTGTTCGAAGGTACGAAATCAAAGAAGCTTCTTTTTAGTTTGTGTTCCACATTATTCGTATTTCGAGTTATTTATTATAAGTATTAAGAATATATACAGTTATAGAAATATTGCTATATTATTATATTTTTAGAATTGAAAAGTTAAATTTTAGTATCAGATCTCATTCTTGATTAAATATTCTTAATCTACGATTTTATTAGTAGTAATTCGGATATTTATATTATACATATGTTTTCTGAGTTGCGTATTGCCAATGAAATTATCTTTTTTCATTCATTTTAAAAAAAAATTTTGAATTTTTTAAAATTAAGTATTAAGAATATATAATTAAGTATTAAGTTATAGAAATATTGCCATATTATTATATTTTTAGAATTAAAAAGTTAAATTTTAGTATCAGATCTCATCCTTGATTAAATATTCTTAATCTACGATTTTATTAGTGGTAATTCGGCTATTTATAAACATATATTTTCTGAGTTGCGTATTGCCAATAAAATTTTCTTTTTTCATTCATTTTTAAAAAGAATTTTGAATTTTTTAAAATTAAGTATTAAGAATATATAGAAATATTGCTATATTATTATATTTTTAATTGAAAAGTTAAATTTTAGTATCAGATCTCATCCTTGATTAAATATTCTTAATCTACGATTTTATTAGTAGTAATTCGGATATTTATAAACATATATTTTCTGAGTTGCGTATTGCCAATGAAATTTTCTTTTTTCATTCATTTTTAAAAAGAATTTTGAATTTTTAAAAATTTTTATCGTGTTCTGTCAGGTATAGCCTCGGACCTGTTTCCCGGTGTGGTTCTGCCGACGCCGGACTACACGCACATCAACGCCTGCACGCGAGACGCCTGTGCTGCGGCGAACCTGCAGTGCACGGACCTCTTCCTGGAGAAGATCCAGCAGATCTACGAGATGATGATCGTGCGACACGGCTTTATGCTCGTCGGACTGCCGTTCAGCGGTAAGACTTCGGCGTACAGAATGCTAGCGGAATGTCTGGGCCTGTTGGAGAGCAGGAACCTGATGAACGAGCACCGTGTGGAGATCACCGTGATCAATCCCAAGGCCGTTACCATGGGCCAGTTATACGGCCAATTCGATCCCGCCTCGCACGAGTGGAGTGATGGGATCCTGGCGGTGGCTTATCGCGCCTTTGCGAGCTCCACTAATCTGAACAGAAAGTGGCTCATCTTCGACGGGCCTGTAGATGCTATTTGGATCGAGAATATGAATACGGTATTAGACGACAATAAGAAGCTTTGCCTGACCTCCGGAGAGATCATCCAGCTCGCCCCCACGACGAACCTGATCTTCGAGCCTATGGATTTGGAGGTGATTTTGTGGCATGATATTCGGGGATTCTTGTACGAGAGATTGTTATTCTTAGCACAGTGGTTTTAATATTAGGCCTCAAGTTACGAATTATGAATTCGATATTCTCAATTTTAGACCCGGGAGATTCTCGATTTTAAAATCATTTAAGATTTAAAATGAAGTCTAAAATGTAGAGGATATTAAAACTGAGTATTTTGAAGTCGAGAATATTGAGATTGTAAATTTTTAGTCGAGAAATTAAGACTTTAGGATCAAGAATTTGCAATTCCACAGACTTATGATATTAAAAACATTGAAAATTGAAGTCAAGGATAAAACAAGTTATCCTTGTGTTACAAATCTACGTGTACAAATCTATACAAAAATATGATGGCAAACAATATCAGGTTGCATCGCCCGCTACGGTGTCGCGATGCGGCATGATTTACATGGAGCCGGCGAGTCTTGGCTGGACACCACTTTTGTACTCATGGCTGAACACGTTGCCGGCTGCTCTGAACGAGAATATCAAGAGAGACTTGAAGGAGATGTACCTGCGATTTTGCCCGGCTCTGTTGCACCTAATACGCCGTTGCGGCGCGAAGGTGAGCACCATTAGGTGGCTGCTCGGGCGAACTTTTCTCGTTTCCGCCGATAGTCGCGGGTTCTCACGGCCCTCTCGCCCGCAGGAAATTATAACGATGCCGGATGCCAATCTGACGCGCTCGGTAATGTACCTGTACGACTGCTTCCTGGACGACTATCACGACGAGAAGTACGTGAGCGCGCTCTCGGATTTGAATATGAGAGCTCAAGTGGAAGTGAGTGAATCATATTACAGAAATTAGAGGAAGAAAATTACGAGTTGCGAAGCGCGATGCAAGTGCAAGACGCGATGAGAGATACAGAAAGCTCGCGCGATGACGAAAATAGATAAATAAACTAAAGAAAATTAGTAAAAGGAAACATATAAAAATAAATTACGAAACTTTTTACTCATACACTCATCTCTTCTCATCTTTCTTCTCTTTATTCTTGTCTCTCTCTTCTCATCTCTTCTCAACAGTCACGACCTAAATACCAAATCTAAGTAATCATCTGCACATTTATTCTTCTACATTCATTTCCAAGACATGTAATCATCTTGGTGATGAAGTTTTCAAGTTTTAAGAGAACAAAATCTTTACAACAGGGCTGCTTCTTCTTCTCCTGCATTTGGGCCATGGGCGGCACGTTAATGACCAATTATCGTGAATGGTTCAATGTGCTATTTAGAGCACTGTTAGACAATCAATTCCCGGAGGCTGTGCGAAGACGCTTCGACATTCCGTCAGAAATCCGTGACCCAAAGCAGCCGTACCTGATCCCCTTACCGCTCGCTGGTTCGGTCTTCGACTATAAATTCATCAAGGAGGGTAAAGGCAAGTGGAAGCCATGGCTGGACGACCTCAAGGACGTCCCGCCGATTCCCACAGACATACCGGTCAATCAGATCATCGTCCCTACGGTGGAGACCGTTCGATATTTTCATCTTTTTCACTACCTCGTCACGCACAACAAGCCGGTTCTTCTGGTCGGACCGACTGGCACCGGGAAGTCCGTCTATATCATGGAGTTCTTGTTGAAGAGAACTGACCCCGAGATCTACAAGCCGCTCTTCGTGATATTTTCGGCGCAGACCACGGCCAATCAGACGCAGGATATTATTATGAGCAAGCTGGATCGAAGGAGAAAAGGTTTGTCGACTTAATCCGGAATATCGATCTTGATATTTCTAGTTGTCATTGAAATTATTACCGATGTGTGAAACATCTCGCTATCTTCTATTCTAAAATCACTAAAAAATCATCATTAACATCATTAAGTTCCACGTTAATTTATTTAATAATTTTGTCTCGGCGCACTCGCACTCGCGTTTCAATCATTCTTTTGATCATTACCTGTTTTAATATTAAGCATTGATATCGTAAATACAGATTGCGAAACATCACAGAAATATTAATGCGCAGGATAATTATTGAAATATAAATCATTATCGATACAAGCATATTAATTACAATTAACGTTATTGTAATTATTGATATTGATTTAAAACTGTATCAAATTGATTCAATTTTATTCGAGGCCTTGCGTACGTAGTTATTAATCAAATTAATAATTCTGCATGAGACCCCGAGTGAAATTAAATCGATTTGAATTTAATTGATTTAATCGCAGACACACGAGAGAATATTTCGTGCTCTCATACTTTTACATCACGGTGAATGCGAGCGTGTCCTTCGATGCAGGTCTGTATGGTGCACCGCCCGGCAAGCACTGGGTGATCTTCGTGGACGACCTGTCCATGCCGCAGAAGGAGGAGTACGGCGCGCAGCCACCGATCGAGCTCCTGCGGCAATGGCTGGACCATCACACCTGGTACGACCGCAAGGAGATAATGCCGCTCAAGTTGATGGATATGCAGCTAATATGCGCGATGGGGCCGCCCGCGAGCGGACTGGACGTCACGCCACGTTTCAAACGGCACTTCTTCACCCTCGGCATCTCCGAGTTCGAGGACGACGTGCTGATCACGATTTTCGGCAGGATCGCTGCCTGGCACTTTATCACCCGCGACTTCCCGCACTTCTTTGAGCCGTGCGTGGAGCACGTGGTCCACGGCACTCTCGACATCTACAAGGAGATCAGGAAACACCTGCTGCCGACTCCCGCCAAGTCGCACTACCTGTTCAATCTGCGGGACTTCTCACGGGTCATGCAAGGCGTGCTGCTCTCCACCCCCGAGGGTATCGCCGATCCGGTACGGTCATCGAAGTGTGCGAGCTGCATGATGAATAATGTTTCATGTTGTCATGGACAGGAAATATTATTCATCTTGCCTGTAAAGGAAAAATATTTATTAAATATTATAATTCGACTAAATTGTTAATTCAAATTAATAGAATTATCTTTTGATTTAAATAAGCAAATCTATCTTTAATTTCACGTCTTCTTGTTTTTGTACAACTATTTTTTTAAATAAAACTTAAAATGTGGTGTAAAAAATCTTCTGAAATTGCATTTAAATATGCAAAATTAATTAAAATCACTCTATTATGATCTGTTGTATTTCGGTTCCAAAACATTTTTCTGATAATCTCTTGCAACACAGTCTCTATCCTCGAGAGCGAGTGCGATTCTGAGGAGAGAAATTCTGATTTAAGATAGTTATTAGGTGGTAAACTTAGTTCCTGCGGCTCACAGTTAGATGACGTTAGTTGTAGGTGTAATTTATTTTGACATCTGAAACTGGCTGCATTTTAGAGGTTAGACATTTGTCAATAAAATTCAGTGCGAAGAGATTCATTTAAGCGAGCAGTGCTATTTTTTCTTTTGATTAAATATGGAACGTGATAAGTTGTTTTTTCGACATGTGCTGCTTCATTACTTTGACTTGAAAAAAACTGCAGCTGCAGCT